AAAGATATTAGGAATTCCTTCTGTTAACGTTACAGCCTATTAAAGTTCACTGCTGAACATAGATCTACACCATAGATAGCCTCATAGGCGGACATTTGCCATAGTTGCCAAGCTTGGCAAGCGGGTTGGCAACCGCAGTGTTTTTAGTCGTAAATAGGAAGACGCTGCTGCCCATCTCCTGATTTGTTTCCTTCCGTCGCCTCTTACTTCACCCACAGAATGATATGGGGTAGTGGATATTCTTACACCGCGATTACACCATTCCTTCTGCTGATATGTTAAAAATTAACGAAAGCTAAAGGATGGAGGAAAAATATTACCTAATGATCTATAAATGGGAACAGCGTCAAAAGTGCAAGGCTTGGATAAGTAACTCGGAATGCCAATCCGCCTAAAGCGACGATTACAGCAAATTCTCTCTAATTGGAAGATGCCTTTATCCAACGGCGAACCATATCTAGTTTTATGGTGATGAATAATATTTAAATTTTAATAATTTAAAAGTCTTTAGTATATTAATACTAAAAATAAACGTAAGCAAATGTATTTAAAATAAACAATTCCCTTTATTGTTTTAACATTCAACAAAACTATACAAAATTTCTAAATCTGCATAACACAAAGATAATTCAATTTTTGTCAATCTCAAATACATTTCTGTATGTATAAATATAGTATACTATTTATAAATATTATTACAATTTCTTCGAAGTAAAATGGCGAAAGAACAACAAGCAAATGAAATCACTGCGACGCCTCATGCAGTCTGCGCCTTAAGTACATTTCACCTCTCATAACCAAGGTCATTCTGTCAATTATGCATAAAGTAAGCTTGATGTTTGCCTTGGCAGAGAAATGAATTTAGTTTTGCTTAAAATAACCTTAGAATTTTGCAGGCGTCGTCAATATTTATAATTATAGAATAGAATAGAAAATCAGCATTTATAAGCACAAATATCTTAATAAACAAAATTCAAAAATTAAAAATAAATCCTGCTGAGTTTCTTGCTGGTTCTGCCCAGGAGAGAGGTATATTTCGAACCAGTGATAAATTACACATAAGAGTAACTTTGAATTAGTATTATTTAAAATTTATATTAAATAAATAGTTTTTATTTTCTCCCATATGGAGAATTATTATAGTTTAAGTTTTATTCACTTAAAGAGTTTATGAATTTATTCATAGTGGCGGTTAAGCATCGAATGAAATAGTTCGCAATAATGTCGTTATTAAATAATTATTAATGATATAGTAATGAATTTATTCATAGTGACAGTTAAGCATCGAATGAAATAGTTCGCAATAATGTCATTATTAAATAATTATTTATGATATAGTAATGAATTTATTCATAGTGACAGTTAAGCATCGAATGAAATAGTTCGCAATAATGTCATTATTAAATAATTATTAATTATTTAGTAATCACGTTTACACTAAAAACTCTGTGGTGCAGTTGCTTAGCTTTGAGTTACGGCGCAGAGTATCGCGGATTCGACTCCTGAACGGAACAAGCACTTGTAAGGCCTACACATAATTATTTCGGGTGTGGATATTTTGTTTTATAGGATAGGGAGACAAACGAGCACACAGTCTACCTGATGTTAAATGGTTGCTGCAGCCCATAGACATTTACCACTATCGTCGATTACAAATTAAAATGCAAATGAGTTGTCACCCGTGGGGACTAAGATGGAATGCCTCGTTTCCAGTAAAAAGGGTTTCCGGTTCTCTATACTCACCATACGAAACACAGCAGCATCAATGGCGCAAGATCCTTCGTTATGCCGAAAATATTGCAGCATTAATTTTGAAATAAATATATGGTAAAGTTGAGGATTAATGTTAAGGATTATGTTAGACGAAAACACGATTTCGTAAAATTATCTCGATAGAAAAAAAAATCCAAAGTTACCTCCAAAATAAACAATAAACCGCTGTTATTCATAAAATACTTTAAATAAGATCATGAAACTTTGCATACTAACTGAACTAACTATAAAGCAGTGCTCATGTTATTTACTTTTTTTAAATACCATTATTTTCACTGTAAAAAGATATTACCTAAACTATCGGTTTTCTCGTTTTTTCTCGTTTGGTTGTTTCCATGAACAAAATTGTTAGGTAACTTTAATTAGTGATTACAAACATGTCGGTACATAGCATACGACGCGCGGGCAAGTGGGGACGAAATTAGAATTTGAGCTGATTTACTATATCCCCTTAAGCTACTATTCTACGCTGGTATTCTATGAGAGCCTGGTCCTACCCCAGTCGAGCCGACCCATTCGTGCTACAACTATACTACTCATATAACTGCAGCACGGCTCTACCACGTATAGAAATATTTGTCCTTTTGCATTTAATGTATGTAAACTACCTCCACAATACAATGTGAAAGTTTTTTCGTTACTAATGTAAGATTCAGAAATTAGTGGAACTAACAGAAAGACCACTCCAGTACAGGATAAAAGAATCAATTAATAATATGATTCTAAATTATGTTACACCTTTTTACTAGTAAAGGAGCATTTCCTTTTAGCCGTGACAGTCCACAACTCAAGTCGTTACAGTGCACAATTGAACATAGTTCTGCCAAATTATGTTCAGTTGCAATACCTGATATACCGCGTACAATCCGGCTCGAAGGACTATATGTTCTGGTGTTAAGTTAGTCTAGCATTTTGATTAAAATAAAATCATTGACAGATGGTCTTATTATAAATAATAAGTAAAAATTGTGTATGCGTCTGTAGTATATGGTAGTGCTCAACGACGAACGGTCGTTATCGCCTTATCAAACCAATTTCGGCGTAGCCTCAACACGCACATATAATTTTGTTTATATTCTATTCATAAAATCTGTCTATATTTTTATGAAATACAACATGCCTAGCCAGATTTATATAATACTCAATATCATCGCTGTGATTCCATCACAAGTCACATACACCTCGCCCAAAAGCCTAAGGCTGCAAGACACTATCAACCAAGTATCTTTCTTGAGGGCCAATTAATAACTCAACAAGCCATTTGTGTACTTCTGTAATTTTTTTTTAAATGATACACGAGTATTAAGTCTTCTAATGATGCAGTCAAAATGCGCTGCAGCATAATTTGGACTGTAAGTTTGAGTGTCACTTTATTTTTATAGAAAAAAGTAATGACAGGCTAATGATCCATACAGTCGTCTGATGGAGACGTCTAGACAGGTCGGGACGGGGAGAAGTCATTTATTTAAAAATTAAAATGAAAATAAAAGAAACGAAATATGCTCAGCTATAAAATATGTCTAAACAACTATGCCAATATTACGAAAAATTAAAATCAAAATATAATACTTACACTTTAAACGTATACTGCTAGTTACAAGTTTAGACGACTTGAAATGCATTGCGTCATAATTCTATGGATTGTCTTAAGACACTACAAGGTAGGTAGGTTCTGGTGACAAACACCATCCATTTAATGGAGTAGGATTACTTACTATTTTCTTCCCGGTAAGTTTACTTGGGAAGAAAATTCCGAGAAGTCTAACTAGTAAATCTATTGGGACGAAAATTTACCTGTAATTCTACTTGGAAGGAATTTCTTAATAGTCTCACTAGTATGACTATTTGGTAAGAATACTGGGAGTACGTCATAATTTCAATCTTATTATGTAAGGTGTTTAAGTAAAACGTCTCTGAGTGCCGGGACAAACTTGTGTCTGAAGTCGAGTCTCTGCTGGACAGAGTCTCGGATTGGGGGCGACTAAATCTAGTCCAGTTTAACCCCCAGAAGACACAAGTTTGCGCGTTAACCGCTAAAAAGAACCCCTTTGTCGTATCCCCTCAGTTTCAAGGCACTCCCCTTGTTGCCTCAGCCAGTATCGGAATCCTCGGCGTCGACATATCGAGTGACGTGCAGTTTCGTGGTCACTTGGAAGGGAAGGCCAAATTGGCCTCTAAAAAAGCTTGGCGTGCTCAGCAGAGCGGGACAGTATTTCATGCCGGCACACCGCCTGCAACTTTACAAGGCGCAGGTGCGGCCGCTCATGGAATACTGTTCCCATCTCTGGGCTGGGGCTCCCCAGTACCAGCTCCTTCCACTTGACCGCATCCAGCGCAGAGCGGCTCGAATCGTTGACGACCGAGTGCTTTCCGATCGGCTCGATTCACTGGCGCTGCGAAGAGATGTTGCATCTCTTTGCGTATTTTATCGCATCTATCACGGGGAGTGCTCTGAGGAATTGTTCGGATTAATCCCAGCCGCCAAATTTCGTGAACGCACTACACGGCAAACGTCCCGATACCATCCACACCATCTGGATGCTTGGCGGTCCACCACTGTACGTTTCAAAAGGAGTTTTCTTCCGCGTACAACCTCTCTGTGGAATAATTTACCACCGGTGATTTTTCCGGACCGATACGACCTGGGGACCTTCAAGAAAAGAGCTTACTCCTTTCTAAAGGGCCGGCAACGCACCTGCAATTCCCCTGGTGTTGCGGTTGATCATGGGCGGCGGTAGTCACTTAACATCAGGTGAGCCACATGCTCGTTTGCCCCCTCTTCTATAAAAAAAAAAAAAAAAAAAAGGAGTGATCAGAGATATTTTTCTTGTGGTTTAGATGTGTAGAAACGTATCAACGTGCTCAAGATAAATACTTGAATAAGATTGAGGCTAGTAAAGAATAATTTTTGAGTCCAACCGGAAACAGTTTTTATTTCGATTCTTTTATATAAGACGGAGCAAACAAACCTGCTGCTTACCTGATAGTAAGTGACTAACGCCGTCCAATTACAACTGCAACACCAGGGGAATTGCGGATGCGCTACAAGCATAAGTCGCATCAGTCCAAAAAATCGCTGGTGGTAGTCGATTCTACAAGGAAGTTGTGCGAGAAAGCAAACATCTTGTAAATTGCACAGTAGTGAACCTCGAATCATTCACACTTTATGGATGATATTACGGGTTTTGATTGATCGACTGTTTCTGTAAAATTTTAATTTTTTTCAGGCACCATTACCACCCCTGAAATGGAAAGGAATCTTCGAAGCCATCGATGAGAATATCCGATGCCCACAGAAGATGGTCGGTTCTGTCGTTGTTGGCGATGAGGACTGCTTGAAGCTCAACGTTTACACTCCAATATCGAGACAGTCTAACAAATTGCTCCCGGTCATGGTCTATATACACGGCGGGTGCTTCTTTGAAGGAACTGGCACTGCTTTCCTATACGGCGCTGATTATTTTGTAGAACATGATGTTGTATTTGTCGGCATCAGCTATAGGCTTAATGTTGAAGGATTCCTTTGTCTCGGTATTGAAGAAGCACCAGGTAACGCTGGATTGAAAGATCAAATAGCCGCATTGAAATGGATCAAAGAAAATATCAAAGCTTTTGGTGGCGATCCCGATAGTGTAACTGTATTCGGAGAAAGTGCTGGTGCTGTGTCTACTTCCTATTTAATTTTATCTCCAGCTGCGAGAGGCCTTTTCCACCGAGTTATTCTACAAAGCGGTTCATCATTAGCACCATGGGGAATGCAGCACGACCCGATAAAAACTGCCAGTAGTTTGGCTAAAGAATTCGGACACACAACCATTGACCCTCAAGAGCTATACGACATCCTATCTAAGAAAACTACTGAAGAATTGATATTGGCAATCAGAAATCCGGAACATAAAAATTACGTAACAGCCGAAACACTTTTCGCTCCCTGCATTGAAAAACATGTGCCTGGTGTTGAGCCTGTAATTACAGAACATCCGGTTGATGTTATAAGCTCCGGCAACTACACTAAAGTGCCCATGATAATTGGGTTCAATGACAATGAAGGCATCTACTTCGTAGCTAAAGATTACGGCAATAAATTAAAGGAAATAAACCCTTACGAACTCTTATCACCCGACTTAGAGTTCCCCGGCGATGAGAACCGAAACTCGACCGTGGAAATATTAAATAACTATTACTTCTCTTCTAAAAAGGAAGACATGATAATGGATGTCGTAGAATTGTATTCGGATCTGCACTTCAAATTTCCTTCTGTCATAGAATCTGAATTATATATCAGAACTTCGTACCAGCCGATTTATTTTTACCTCTTCAAATACAGCGGGTATATAAACATGCCAAAAATGATATCATTTTTTGGAAGCAAGCAGGGAGCGTCTCATGCGGATGAGTTGTTTTATATGTTCAAACCACTATCGATTCCTCTACCCCAGAGATATTTAGAGAGGAAAATGATAAAGCGAATGGTGACACTATGGACCAACTTCGCGAAATACAGGTGCGTAAGATTTGAGAACCGTTTTGCCTTATTCTAATATGTTCTACTTCAGATCTAATTACGGCTGATCTCAACGAAGACTAGCCATCTGCGAAGAAGAGTATTATGGAACTCGAGGGCATGCGCAAGCACAGGTGCAGTCTCTATTCCCCGACTCTAATAGTCACGGGACGGTAATCACGACACGTCACGACACGACAGGAGGACGACTTTACGTGCTTTGCGAGGCAGCGGGTGAAACCCCGCTAACATTCTGACTCCGGTTTATTACTGGGAATTTCTTACACAAAAACCCGTTAACTGTTTTAGACCCGACTCGGGATTTGAACTCAGACCTTATGATTAGCAGTTGCGTTCACGACCACTAGACCAACGGGTTATTTTAATATTCTGTTTCAAGTCAGTAATACGTCTCAACAACTAACAAAATCTGTTAATACTTCTATTTAGCAAAAAAATTCCGTGAGCTTACAAAAACATCTCGCTATAGAAAAACATGTACGGTGTAGCTTCGACAACTCACACTAATGACACTTTTTATAGAAATGACGCAAGATGTGTTAAAATAATATATAATATAATTCATATTATGCTATCGCTTTAACAAGTTTCTACAGACAACTTATTCACGATTTCTCGTATGTACCTTCTTGATAAATTGTTATTATTGCAATAAAGAGTATCAATAAAGATTTTTCAATAAAGATTTATAATAGTCTTGCGACTAAGAAGTCGTTAAGTGGATGCGAGAATCATTCCATAATAAGTGGGTATCGTAAAAGGCGACAAAGTGAAGTGAGATAGGCAGTGGTATCATACTGATAACAACTCAGAAAGAATAAAAAGCTAGTTCTTAAATCTAGTTTGACAACTATAGCAAGTATCCCCTCTACGAGACAATCATTGGGAGGTTCCTACGTTCACCAATGAACTTTTAAAATTTTGTAATGATCATCATTACAGAATATTAAAAGATGATGATGGTAATTATAATTATATGAGTGAGGTTCAATTCTCGCATAGAAAATAATTAAGGTAGTTCCATTCAAATACTTAGATGTAGAATAGAATAAAATAATTTTTATTCAAGTATTTCTTATTGAGATTTGTTTAAAACATATTACATTCTTTATAACGCGAGTTCAAATTGACCGTGCCCTTATATCTACTTTCTTTACGCATGTAATCTAAGAAATTGTACTAAGTCGATTGGCATTGACATTTATTGTTATTTATTACAATTAAGTTTAACACAAATCGATGTAAGTGTGATTCCGCACGTTTAATATTAATGAACCGGGCCCCACAAATACACAAAAATTGTATGAATAAGTGGGAGCCTGCTTAGTAGTCGTGTCACGTTCAACCGTCGTTATTATTTCGACAAAATGTCGCCCTTGTGGACTTAGTATTGGGCTGAGATACGTAGCTTAGCTTAGCTCCAAGTTTCAAATAATTATGCTTGTACCATAAACATTTTAATGGAAAACAAATTATCCATTACATCCTTAAAACTCCACTGCTGAACATAGGCCTCCACCATAGATTGCGTCATGAGAATTCTCCAGACCGAATCCGAGACCAGTCTCTACAGAGGTTAGCCATATGCGCAGGACAGGATTATAGTGCCCAAGTGTATGCACAAGCACAAGTGCACTCTATATTCCCTCGCTCCCATAGATCGATGGGACGGTAATCCAACACGACAGAAGAGAAATCAGACGCAGGACCAATGGCTTTACGTGCTATTCTTAGGCACGGGGCTGAAAGATCGTCAACCTCCTGACTCTTTTCTTCAAAGAAAAACCCAATAACATATTTTGACCCAACTCGGGGCCTCATGATGAGCAATTGCGTATACGATCACTAGACTACGACGAGACAGTCAATCGCTTGGTGGGTTGACAATCGCAGCTTTTTTTTATTATTTAGAGTTGTTGCCAGAAATAAATATAGAAAGATCATTGTTTATTTAAACCAGTAATAATACGGACGTTAGAAAATCTGCTACCTTAAACATCCCGTGGGGGTTGTAAGAGGCGACAGAGGGAAATTAAAACAGAAGATGGGCAGCAGCATCTTTTTTATAGAATAGGAGTGACCAACGAGCATACAGTCTACCTGATGGTAAGTGGATACTGTGGTGGTGTGTGTGTTGATGGGAGTCTTAAATGCAAAACTACTACTAATTACTTACAAAACTACTACTACTAATTCGGATAGAGCAACGGAACCCAAGTGGCCAGCAACTAGCCGACTTCATGGAGAAAGAGGAACTCTATATGATGAACTCTTTCTTCCAGAAGCGGCCCCATAGAAACCCGGACCTGGTCGAGCCCCGACGGTTCGACAAAAAATGAGATTGACTTCAATATGACGACTAGACGAAAATTAAAAAATAATTAAAACGAAAAAATTGATTCATATAAATAATTAAAATAAATAACAATAATATAATTTCCTATGTAGTAAAATTTTAAATTTGTATATAGTTTCTTTCTATCTCTGTACTTCTTTCTTATTGTAAAAACTCCCGTTGCCTTCTCCTTCTGTCTATTATTTCAGCGTAAATTTATATTTTCGTGTAGACATTAAATCGTGAGTGTTAGTACAGAACTATCTTCTACTTGTACAACTCCTACGCGCAACTTGCAGTTACCACACCCCACAACATTGTGACGTCTACACTAGCTCCCACATGTCTATTGCCATTTTTTACGAAAAGGCAAAGTCACTGTCAACAGTACCTAAGTATTCAACGGCATGTAGCAGAAGCCATGTTTCCCGTAGAAAAACGAGATCCGTAGCTTGGCACAAAGTTTTAACGTAGTCCATATTATAGTGTATAACGGATCTGCAATTGATACTTATAAATGTCGTGTTATAAGGCATATATTATTATTTCTTTTAATTGGCCCTCTTTCTTTTCAGGTGTTTTGGTTCATTTATATACATTTAATTTTTACAGTTTTCTGCTTCTTTCAAATATTTTAATAATCTGGCAGCCTCCTTCTAACTATAAACCATCGTCCAAGAAAATTGATACTTTGCCGTATGATACAAAGATTTTTATGAGTTATAATTTTTTGTCTCTTCTTACCTTCGATTTACTTGCAATAAAGTATATAATATATTTTTCAGAAGCCTGTTTACTTACATTATTTATGAAGAGTAGAATCTTTGTCTCTGCAGCTTCAAATTTACATTCTGGTACTATAACTGCCTTCCCCATAATTCCGATAAATTTATAATTATTTAGCCCTCATTTTTTTATTTTAGCTATAACTGTCTAATTTTCCTCATTTCTATTTTCGTAATTCATAACATCTCTTTTTTCGTTTACTATACCAACCTCCATATCCACTATCACCTTTGTATCACAAAGGCGTATGTTAGTGTTGAGACATTGTGATGATTCATATAGCTACGTCGTTCGGGTTTGGTGCAACCACCACTGTATGCACTCGCTTGCGGTGACTTTGCCTCATTTAGCGGTATGACATACGGTGTTTGGCTTACTTACATTTGCGATCTCGAGCGGGGGATCTCGGACATCGGTGACGATTATTTTTTCTGAGAAGAGGGTCCAATTAATAGTTATAGGTTATCCCACATCTACGTTTCCGATTTATGTAATTGCAGATTGTTTACCATTTGTTTTTGTTTTAATCAAATCAATTATCAAATCTTTCATGATTCATTTTATCTGCTCATTTATCACATAGTTTTTCCTTAATGTGAAGTAGCTCGCTTTGTATAACTTATGTAATATCTTAAAAGAGAGCGTTGTAGCATCGATGCGATCGAAAGTGACACTCGGTAGATTTTGCAATTCCCTTGCAACGAAAATAGGAACATTATCGGGGAGGTCAATAACATCACACTCATTTTTTTATATTTAATATTATGGGTACTTTCCTTCTCCGGACAACCTAAATTGAGCCTCTTAAGATTCACCCGGATATAGAACGACGAGTGAACGCAGAAAATAGAGTAAACGGGCCTCTACACTCTATTCCAAAAATTCAGAATGTGTCAAAAAAGGCACGTATGGTAATTCACAATGCTGTGTTAGTCCCTACTTTAACGTGTGGTAGTAAAAGTTGGGTGTGGCAGAAGAAGCATGAGAGTAGAATAAACGCAGTAGAAATGCAGTCGTTAAGGAAATTTAATCATTTAATTTATATTTTGAAGCAGATTTTTTTACGTTAAAGCGCTATAATGTGTATGAAATGAATGTAAATCAGTATTTTCGTCTAAATCGTTTGAATAAAAGTAGTTTTGACCAAAAAATATTTAACCAACAACGGTAATTCAATCACGTTTAGTTACTAAAAAATAAATTTCAAATTATGTAATGTTATTTATTAATTAATGTATCAACGTTCAATTAACCATACAGTTCCATCAACAAACCTCTGGGAGGTATAACATTATGGTATTTAATTCTTGGTGATTTGTTCTTATTTTAAAAATTAACTCTTGAATACTTTTGTTTTTTCAGTGATCCAACACCAAAAACATCGAGTCTTCTCCCCGTGCGATGGAGACCGAGCCGAGAATGGAACCCGACAGCCCTTATCATAGATAACTCCATAACCACTGCTCCTATGTGGAACGAAGCATCCGTTCGCCTGTGGAATGACACGTACAGTAAATACAGAAGAAAATCATACGGTTACTACGGACTCGTTCACGGCATAGATGGTATAAGTTACCGATAGTATTAACATGCGATAAAATAGAATTAATATGGGATGAGATAGTATTAAAATTCCTAAATATGGTATTAGTTCTACTTTCAAAGTAACTTGCAAAGTAATCAATACCCGATTGTATCTATTATCTTAAAAGTGTTATAACGCTTTTTCCTGCAATGATATTTGAAAAGTTTGGAGACGATATTCCAACAATATGTTCGTCGAACAAGCTTAAAGGTTAAAACTGTAATTAGAAATCCGACTGCGTAAAACAAAGTTGACTAAAAAGAGAAATTTTTTATACCCTATATCACTTCCATAACTAAGACGAATCTAACGACACCCCAAATGTTAAAATCCATCAAGCTATTTGGGCTACAGAGCGTGCCAAAGAAATAGACATACGTACATACGAGTACACTCACTCACGGGCACGTGAAGAGGAGGCCACCCGACTACGTAGGGAACTTGGCACTACAACTTTCCATCCCAGGTCGAAGATCCAGGGGCAGACCCAAAACACGATGGAAAGATGTAGTGGTAAAGGACATGAGAGAGTGCGAAGTCTCCGAAAATGAAGTCGAGGATAGACCGAAGTGGAGGCGTAAGACAAGAAAAGCTGACCCCTCCACCATGTGGGACACATAGCCAGGAAATTAAATATTACTATTGTATATGACGACGTGCGTTATCGCAAATCAAGTATACTTCAAAGATGTTAAAAATCAATCAGCAAAGATTCAAGTAATAAAATAAAATGATATTTCTTACGTAGTTTTAAGAACTCCTCCGTCAATTGATTTTTTTATAGGACAGGGGGCAAACGAGCATACGGCTCACCTGATGGTAAGTGATTACAGCCGCCCATTAATAATCTCAACACCAGGGGAATTGCAGATGCGTTGCCGACCTTTTAATGCGACATCTCTTCGCAGTTCCAGTCAGTCAAGTCGATCGGAAAGAGCTCGGTTGCCGACTAGTCGAACAGCTTTGCGCTGGATGCGATCATATGGAGATGGCCAGAGATGGGAACAGTATTGTGCGGCCAAACCTGTGCCTTGTAAATTTACTACTTATTTTGGCAATGATACTTTTGAAGGATAAAGATATTAATAGTTATTTTGCAACCATCCGCTTAATGATGTGTCTTCTCTAGTTTGAAGAGCACCTCCCGCGCTCCCTCAATTGCGTGCACTAATCGCGTCACCACCAATCCCAGCAACACTACTCCCAACGCTACTACTCCCAACACCACTATTCTAGGAAAGACACACCATCGACGATAATACGACACGTGTTTCGCCTCTACACGAGGCATCTTCAGGTGAAATTGACTCTACGGGAGCAAGGAGGCAAAATAACTATTAAAATCTTTATTTTAATGGATTTCCACAAAGTAACGCCTGATTCTATCAATTAACTTTTGAAGGACCTGGAGGCGGAATTATACTTCTTGATATCTGAATTCCGAGACGTCGATGCGTCAGCCCATGTCTGGTAGTACTCTTGCTTATGGTGTAATGCAATGCTGAGGGAACGGCCAAACCATGGCTGGGTTTTGTCTCCGATAGGTACCACAGATGATGGAATAAAAAGTACCATTGCTTGCACTATCCCCTATCACCATTATTCCCAACCAACACCACTATACTAGGATAGACACAACTCCGTCGATAATACCACACGTGTTTTTCCTTTAAACGAGGCATCTTCAAGTTAACTTTGCGGTGGCTTACCAATTTAAGAAACCAAATTTTATATTGGTACGCGGATCTTAACTAATTAATTAAGTTTACTTCAGACAATGCTTTTCTTTTCTTTTTTATAGTTTTCAGAAACACGTCAACATTTACATTCTTTACCCTTTAATAGACCTTTTACTAGATATAAAACAAAATATTTACAAAATTTGTCATCACTGTGTTGTGGCATCTTTGTAATTTATGTATTTCATGCATTAGGTAAGTCATAAAGGTGATAGATAATACTAGTCCTTATATCTAAGAAAACCTATTTAATGGTGCTAGAAATATAGACGTTAATAAGGTCTACTTGTATTCAAAGACTTCTAATGTATACTAATAGACGTGCTATGCGGAATTAACACATTGCGCAATAAGTTACGGTCAATTCTCCAATACCCTTTACTGCGAGCGGCCGAGAAAACTAGTAAGTACTTCGTTTTGTAAACCACATACGGTGTTTCGGACAATCTGACACTAACTTTGTTTAATGTAACTAAGAACACGCTGTCATTATCTCTATATGCGCACTATTTTTACGTGATTTGAAGTTTATTTCCAGATTTATTTAGTTTTTGTCTATAAACAGTAACTGTCGTAAATGAAAATATAACTGCATGGCATAATTGATGCGTGATCCACGGCTTTGACACAGTTTTATTCTGAATTTCGGGTCTAGTAGTATACTTATAAGTCTCTAGTTGTATTGTTTTATTAATATAAGGGTGTTAATAAAACATTTAAAATGTTTGTTTTTTTATTTTAAAACTCCTTTGGTAAAATATTAGCTTATTTCATAAATTTACCTGAAATACATACTCTGTGTTTATTTTTCTATTGTTACTTTATTGAAGTCAAAATCACATTAGAATTTTTTCCTGTGTCATGGAGACCGATATTTTTATTCTACACCGACACTAGCTATAGGTATCTACACTTCATCACTCCTTTAGTTCAGAGCATACCGAATAATACCTTATCTGCTGTGTATAAGACAATCGAATATCCCTTCCTTATTAAAATAACACTGCCTTGACAAGATTTTTAATCAGATTTCAAACGTTAATTATATTGATGATTAGTACAAATAATATACATCAGTGTTCGTGTTGGCTGCCTTCTCCCTCTCTCTCTTTTAAGGTGAACAACATTTCTGCGATATTTTTTTCCTGTTGAATCATTCCTTACCCTAATATCTTCCTCGTTGATACTACCGTTACTGTTTGAGTCTCTGGGTTAAAATTAGGAGTTAATTTGGTTGCTTTAGTCATGTTTTTACTAATGCCCTTTCTCGTGAAGGAAGAACTCCTCAGACTTGCCATGGAGATCAACACGACTTGCGCTCTCACACAAAGCCATTCGCCAAACTGCTCACTGGACAGTACAGCAGAATAGGTGTTAATTTGGTCCTTCTGATAATTTCGCCTATCTGGCAGCTTACAAACTATGTTAAAATAGCCCCCAAAATATCATAAATAAGAAATCAAGTTTTAAACAGTAACCCCTACAGTATTCCCTACAACATACTTAAGAATCAACCCTCCGACTGTAAGTAAAGTGAGTATAATTTTTACGTACCTGTAGTATCTGGTACCAGAAAATTGACCGTCGACCAAAGCGGGTATGTATACGTTCACTGTACACCTTAATACTACTCTATTGTATATATTTTGTACATCAGAAAAGAAGTAAAGTCTGGGGGCCCAGGGATCTTGGACTATGATGTTATTGACAGGAACACGAATTCTAAGGCTAATGCTACACACGTGAAATTTGTCACGATCCTTGGATCGCGATCCAGGATCGTGATATTTATTGACCGTGGAATATCAATTATTGATAGATCGCGATACGGATCACAGAATTTCTAGATTTCCGAAAATCCGTATTGCGATCCAAGGATCGTGATAAATATTTCGAGTGTAATGTTGTTGCGATACGGGTCGCGTCAGTCTGCTCTGGAGAAGCGATGGAAGAGGACGACTTTTGTAGCGATGCGGGCGAAATCGCAAACGAAAGCGAGTATCCTATTTCGACGGGACTATCTACAATGTATCAAAAATATTTACAGGCTTTTATATTATGATTGGAAACACATTACGGGACACATCGTGTGATGGTTTTAAAAACAATTGTAAGCGCATGAAGGCACTTCAGAAGTTACTACTACTAATTTATAAAAAAATAAAAAATGACGCTTCAATAGAAGATGTTAGAAAAAAAATCGTCAAATTCGACACTCTCCTTTTTAATATTATTACCATAATGATACCCACACAAGCTTTAAGCAAGCTTTTATACGTGGTAGAGCCATGCTGCAGTTATATTAGTTGTATAGTTGTAGCACGAATGGGTTGGCTAGACCAGGGAAGGACCACGCTCTCACAGAATACCAGCGTAAAATAGTAGCTTAATGCTGTTATGTTGCGAATGGTGAGTGTAGAGAAATGGAGACCCTTTTTACTGGAAACGAGACATTCCATCTTAGTCCTCACGGGTGACAACCGTGTAACCGGTAATCGAGGATAGATGTAGATGTCTATAGGCCACGAAATCCACTTACCATCAGGTGGATTGTGTGCTCGTTTGTCACCCTATCCTATAAAAAAAATACGCAGACCGAAGTCGGGCAGCAGCATCAAAGATGCTCCCACGTAAGGCTAACCACGTTTTTTTTCGTGGGTAGGAGTGAAATAAGTAACACATGTTTTTGATCAGTCTCGCGTAATTTATATTTTAAAAATAGAAATTAGGATATTTTAATGTGTAAAACATATATGTAATTTCTGTTTACAGCCTTGATTCCTTGATATATTTTTCCTTGATTTGCTAACACTACACGAAACCATGGAAGCCCTCAAAGGATCACTGTCAGCCATGTCAGAACTCTTCAATACTCGTATGAATGAGTTTCAGCGGGACTTAAATAAGACTAGTCCAACTATGGCCTCTTGGAGATAAGACGCTGTCGTAAGATTCTGCTGCTTCATGGGATTCCTGAGGACAAGTCCGAGGATACTTCTTCAATGGCAACCTTATAATGGACAAGCTTAAGATTCCCAATGTGTCTAACACTTCCTTTAGCCGCTGCCATCGCCTTGGACGTCCAATAGAAAAGAAGCCAAGACCAGTTCTTGTAAAGTTAGTGATCAAGTTTGGTTCCCAAAAACAAAACTGAAAGACACGGGTGTCACCATGTCCGAGTTTTTACCAAAAGATCGTCACAAGATGTTCATGGTGGCCAGGCAGAAGTTTGGAATAAGTAATTGCTGGACTAAGGAT